GGAAGCATTATACATNTAATATGACAATTACCCATGATCTCATAGTATCGGATATATCTGCTTNTGAAGAAAATGAAATTACTACAAGGTCAAATTCATTAATCTCACCAGTATTTTGATGTCGTTTTTGTAAAGACCATTTAATGTGAGAATATATATCATGATATCTACTAGAAATATTCCACTTTACACTGTAACTAGAACTAGATGGTTGATAACCAGGTTCTCCACAATAGATGATCTAAAATACACAAAGAAAACCTAGTAAACGCTTATATTGAAATGACTTTTTTAAAATGATATTTTATTGGAAAAAGGTAAATTCGGCAGTTAGCATCAGCTCTTATGATTCTCAGTAATTCTCAGTTTGCAGAGGCTTATTGGTTCTTCACATTAGGAACAATGATTCAATGGGACACAATCCACTTAGCTGCGATAATATTCTACTGTTTCGTGCAGATGTATGGTGCACACGAAGGTATGGTATTGGAGAAGGAACTATGATTCAATGGAACAGCAAGCTCTTATCTGCAATCAGCTTGGCAGAGCTATGTCCTGAATGATGTGCTACTTCAACATTAAGTTTAATCTAATTAGAATCACTTACAGTAGAATTGTGGTAATGGTTGGCTTTCAAATCTGAAACAAAACAAATAACAAACTAATTATATTAAACTGAACAGGCGTTCTCTTACTATTGCAGACTGGTTATTTATTTTATAAGATGACCAAAATTGGAGGTATTGCGCGTCAAAATATACTTCAAAATATATCAATATAGTAATATATTGTTCAGTTAGGACCACAGAGAGATAAATCGAAACAGAAAAAGATAAAATAAGGTAGGAATTACGTTACCAGCTTGATTAAAACAAGCAGCGCCATCTTTTAATTCCACTTCATCACTCAAATCTTCTGATATTTCAACAACTGTTATTCCATCAGATGATGATGTCACACTACCAACACCAACTACTGTAGCAGTTACTGATACAATATATTTCTAGAAAATATACTGTTGCTTTCAACATTTGTCAATAAATTGTATATCTAGTCGCAGTTTCATTTTTTAGTCAGGAATCGATCTGGTTGAATTTCATGATTTTGACCATTATAGTAGTAGCATAGAATAAAATCTTAATTTCATCATGGATTTGTAACACCATAATCATCCCTACCTGATAATGTTGTAACTGTAGACCAATGAAGGTGTATTCAGTTTGTTGACTGACATGAACAGATTGTATAAATTCACTGTCATTCTCTCTCCTTATTCCTACTTTATAATTAATACCTGTAGATATTTCTTCTTCAGATTCAAATCCATACCATCGTACACTAACCATACTAGTAGATAGTTGATAGTCACTGTCTTCAAGTTCCTATAATTATAATATACTACTTGATAGTCACTATCTTCAAGATCTTATAATTATAATTCACAAAGTGTAATGCCAGGTTCCCTCTTCTTGTGGTATCGACTGTTGCATGTGTGTGGATTGCTAGTATTATTATACACGTAACTATGTAGCGGTACCAGAGAGTGCAGGGAACAAGATTATCAGTTCAAGTTCCAGGTTTAACAAGGTTGACACTAATACACCACCTCGTTTCACTCTATAGAACACAGATTAAGACTCATTCATACAACATTTTTCAGCACCTTGTGTATTCATGCCATTATCAGAGGAGAGGAGTGGATTTGGAGTAACTCCTGTTAAGATGAATGTTGTGATCATCAGCGATATCCAGGTATGAAGAAACGGTAGGTTTCAGGTCATTCACCGATTCAGCTGACATTAGTTTTTCGTAAAAAATCAATTACTTCAATATAAATATAGTAAGATAAAAGCCCGTTTCATTTTCTTACCAAAATATTGAAGAAGTCCATTTCACTCTTTAACCCAACATCAATTACCACACCTTTAGATGGTAATAATGATTTATATGTTAAAGGTTCTGATGATATTACTGTATGAAGACCAACTGTATTTTCTATTTTAATAGATATATAATATTTATATCCATGGTGTAAACTCCAGTCTAATTTCATAATATCAAATACAGTACAGGTGGGTAGTAAGGCTTCAAGACAGGGTACATAGAAGTTTAAATCTGAAAACGTGGCGATTTGTTGACCGCCTTTAGTTGTACCTGAAAAACAAAATTAAAATAACGTTACTTTGACCTACACTGAATTATGCATATTTATTATTTTGATTTATTTCCCTTGATTCACAAATGTTCATCCTGTTATTCATGGACACTGGGGCAGATGACGCGCAAAAAAATGAAATGAATAGAGTTTCTACGTCCTACTTTTCTGCACCATGTGGTTAATGAAGATGGGCAACGCCATGGGCAAATGATGCGCAGATGGTGCTCATATTTGAGTGTCAATTATACAAATGCCTACAATTTCTTATATTCCCTGATAAGTAAAATAATAAAGAAAGACATCGATTGTAACAAAATATTTATCCAATATTTATCTGTCCTAGTCACTGGCATTCGACTTTGATTTTGGCTAATGTTTAAATGAAGTCTTTTTAGAAAATGTATTTCAGAATTTCTTTTACTGACCAATAGCTGCTGTATATCTCAGTTGACTGTGACCAGGATCTTTAACTACAGCATTGGACCAATTGGCTACCAACAGATTATTGTCTAGTACGACATCTATTTTACCACTAAATTTCGGTTTAGAAGTATGAACTATCAGTGGTCCAAGGGTCTGAAATTTAAATCAGTAAGAAAAAGATGTGAAAGAGATCAGGCATATGTTATTGAAACAAAAATTAGCAAAGAATCAGTAGACAGTAATACAATGGAGTTTTAACTATATTCTGAATAAGGGTAGAAATATGCTATGTGGTCGTATAAAATTTTGTAAATAATGCTCTAACCTGAATTGTTTCTAGTCCAGCTTTATTATTAGCTTTAATATGAATAAAGAATTCTGTACCATCAGTAAGTTGTGGATGATAACCACGGTACCAGGCATGATGATTTGTAGATTGAAATGGTAATAAATCAGGTATAGAATCTCTCTCTGATGATAAACCAAACTGATAATCATAAATACCAGATTCTACATCTATACCAGTCCAGTTTACGTATAGCTGTAGCCGAAAACAAGTAAATGCTCAACTTAATTGAATAATTTGACATGAGACTATATCATTTAAATAAATCATGAATACATCAAAGATAGCTTGCCATGCAAGGTAATATACGCCCACCGGCAGCTTTGATTTTATATAAAAATATTTGGCCGTACAGTAACAATCACAGGTGAAATATTCAATCATAAGTTCAATCTTCTTAATATTACGATATTGTCAAAGTCCGGCATCAATTGAGCCTTTAAGTGTTTAGAAGCCAAAAATTGAAAGATTAAGCTCAATAACTCATATAAAATAATTCTCATTTTTTTGTTATTTTTAAAAGGTTCATCTATGGGTGATTATGGACAAAACAAATACGTTTGTGAAAATCCGGCACGAATCGAGTCTTTAAGTGTTTACAAGCTAAAATTCAATGCGTTTCCAAGAACAAGGGCAATTATTTGTTTACTCATTATTTTCTGACATTTTTTCAATTTTTGAAAAGATTTATCCTTGGTTGTTTACAAACACACCCAGCAACTTTCGTCAACGTGCACCGGGAATTGAGCGTTTTCAAGAACAAGGGCAATAACTCATACTAAATATATTTCGATTTTTCTGATTTTCAAAATGTCATTTTCACGAGTGATTACAAGCTCTCACAATCAAAATTCGTCAAGAATTGTGCCCTGTAGAGTATTAACGTGCAATTGTGGATGGACCGACTGGCGAACATAGGTGACGCCAATATACGCCTCCTTCCCCGCCCCCCGCCCCCAAATTTCATGTGGGCGTAAAAAAATAAGGACGGCATAAAGTAATATTTGTGACATGATGTTGGCCTGGAAGCAGAATTTTTGTGCCGATACCATATGGAAAACACCAAATGTATACTGCTGTTATAGAGTAATATAATGTAAGCTTAATGATCTTGAATTGAACAACCCATCACTAAATATAATATATGTACAAGTAGACCTACATGTGAATGTTCTACTAGGTATGATTGTGTTAGATATTGTATAGGTAATGTTTCTTCTTGACATAAATCTCTATCTTGTATTGTTTGATTGGGATATCTTTCTACTGGAAATAACGATATATCTTCTATTGGTCTTCCTTTTTGTCTGAAACATAAATCTAATTGCCATCTATGATGTGTAACTTTTACATTAATAAATGTATGGCTTACAGCAGAAATTCGTCCATATTTTTACTTACTTTTCTCTGCGTAGGAAAATGTATAATGACCTTGCAAAAATATTTTTTTTTGCCTAGTGTACTAAATATTAACATCAAAATTGTTGTAATCAAAACTACAAAGGTGTGGAATTAGCACCCTTTGACGTTATGATCAGTTACAAAATCTTTTTAACCTCTTATAATCTGGTTAAATTAACAGTAATTTCATTTTCAAATATTTATCCAAATTTTGTTGATGGATAATATTCTACCTATTTATTTAAAGCTGTGAATTTGTATATTAGAATTTTGTTCGAATTTTCCCGCTTAGTATAAGCGTATACGAACTTACACAAGAGACCGCATCAGTATCAGAATCACCTATTTATTTGTCAATTTTTTTTACCAAATTTTGATTATGCATATTATTTGATATATTTATTCAAAGCTATAAAATTGTACACTAGGAATCTGTTCGAATCTTTTCTGCGCTGAGTTAATTAGATCTCCAACAGGAGTTCACATGAATATTAAAAATCACCTATTTTCAATAATGCATTATTCGGAAGGTTTAAAGCCGACAAGTAAAATAAAGACATTGTTAGAAATCTTATAACAAACACAATACTATCAAACCAAGTTGTGAATTCACATTCATATGATATCCGAAGATACAAAAAATCGAGGTATCATATTTGAAAACAATGGGATCAAAAATGTCATCAGTATTTTTTACATTTTTCAAGATGGAGGCTGAACGGTTAAGAATTTGCATATACGACAAGGTACAAAATATTTCTGCCTGTTTCCGTGAATTATGTGGAAAATATTTTTGTGGAATTATAATTGATAATTTGGCCTTTACCCATCTACCAAGTTTCGTGAAAATCGAATAAAAATTAAAGAAATA